TGTAGTCAAACCGCGTAGTCCCACTCAGGCCGAATCGTACACGTTTCCTATCACATGTTTCAATTATTAATTAAATCGAAATATAAGTAATAAGTAATGAGCTTATTTTTACCGAACGAATCGCGCAACATGTTCCAGTTTCTAAAGTCGGGAAAACTGTGGCTTATAAGTTGACACACGGTTGTAGAGTAAATGACAGCCAGCGACAACATCGAGGATATTAATTTAGTGCATTTTTTTATTTTATGGTAGGTTACCTAACTCATGAAATGTGAAAATCGAATTTTAAGGGGGTGGTTTAACACATATTTGAAGTGGCATGTTGATATCTCTGTTCGATAAAGTTTATTGAACGCTTTGACGATGGGGAGCTAACCAAGTCCTCCAAAACGTCAGCGTTAAAATAAACCTGCTTCGGTGAGCCCGTCTTATTTCTTAAGTTACCAGACCAGACCTCTCAACTTCTCCAATCTGATATTATTGATTTTTATGTAGAAAGTCAAAATGCGGAAACCTTTTGAAACCCCTACAGGAATATATGCGTAGCTTAAAAAAACACCTACCGAGTAAACTTCCTCTCAAGCATTTTAGCACTTCCAAATTCCCTTTAACGACTTACTACTAAGACAATTGGGACGGCCTTTGGATCTTATCTGCATCAAATACACTTTAAGAACGACTGCCGTCAAAGCGTGCGTTCCACCCGGAAAAAGAACTAAAAGGCTTTGTTATAATCCATTTACTTCCTCAACTCGTAAACTCCGTTTCAAGTCGAGGCAGTCTCCTGCTGATCGATTGCGAAAGTGTTGTCATCCATTTTAATGATAAATGGCGATAAACAATGGGAGTACGTATCAGGCATATAAAGTTCTTTTCGACAAAATCTTGATGAGAAAACGTGATAAGCATTTGCATAGAAATCGCATATGTTAACGTACAAGAAAGAATTTGAGATTATTTCTTCAGAAAATTCCAACAATATCTATATATTTTAAAAGGTAATACAATAAATATCAAAATGAGTTCATTTCATGAACGGGGCTGGGTACAGCGCATGTGCTAGGATTTCTTTTCCAATGATGAAAACTGCGCAATTTCTCTTTGGCTTTCATCTGTTACACAGTACCGAAAAATATGGTCTACTGGCCGCGTTCACCCAACCCTATACCCCAGCCTCTGAACTGCATAAGCCGGAACTGGAATCGAAAGGCTTTTGTCATAGCGTTAGGCCTAACACTATCACTGTATGATGAATAATAATACAGAAAACGCCACGGTGTCCGTTTCAGTGACCAAAGGGTTGGCCAACTAAAAATGGCTAAGGCACTTAATGTCACCATCTCAGTCTTCCTTATTGTGACATTCTTCCAATCTGTTTTCAACAATCCGAAAATGTTCTCCGACAAGGCTCCAAGTCGTGCCAGGATAAAATTGTTCATTTATATTTTTTAAACATTTGAACGTCCCCTTTTACGCAAATATTATATCTGTGAAAAAATAGAGTGGTTACTGCTAAGGGCAGATGAGACCGGGTGAGTCGCTTCTGGCCGAATAACTGTGGTCAGCAGACCTTACGCAAAATCAGGCTTGCAGTAGCTGAGCCTCGATATCGTATTGTTTAGTCACCGAACCCTCCTAAGTGAGTGCCGGGCTCATTGTCTTTTCTGTTGCATCGGGTACATTAACTGTGTTCTGCGTTTTACGGTAGCTCTAGATTGAGCCTTAAGGCACAACTGAATGGGGACATCTCGTAAAATAATTGATAATTGCCCGTCAATCTAGGAATTCAACACCATGAAAGAAAACTTAATCGGATTGGCTGAGTGACTGCTTTGATGTTTGGCCGGAAGTGTATATCGTATTATTTGGACACTTCTTCACTCCCAACTGGCATTTGTATTTGGTAGGGTAAATTTACATTCGCCCATCCATAAAGTGCAAGAGATCTCGCATCAGGTTGCCAGGGATCCTGCTATTAGACTTTAACTAACAGAATTGCCGTAGAATTTACATAAATATAACAAATGGAACACTGTATAGACATAATTTTTCGGGAACAGAAGTAAAATGCAGGAGAAAGGTCGTTTCAGTAGTTTGCCTTCTGTTTCTCTTTCGCTGATTAACCGCCTTACGCTTTTATCCTATCAATTAAAGAAGCAAAGGCCCCGGAGCTGGGGTTTCCATATATGACTCGTCATGCTGACTTTATACTACATTAATGAACATGGCAAATATGCCTCTTGCAAATATTTGCGATTTTTCCCCGTATATTGCATAAGCCAACGTTTCAGATTTACTAGTGCGCTTAAAATGTATTACTAGACCATACAAACTCAGAATCTTTGAAAATGTGTTACTTCAACTTCAGAAATTACGTGTTAAATTGTCAAGTAAATTGCACGAGCAATATGAGGCTTCAAATCAGACTTGACTGTCCTAGTTATTTAGAAATTACCGTATTCTATGGGACAGCTCTCAGATTATTCCTTGTATAATTCTATAATCTAATTTGTATTAGGAGTTCCAAAAGTACGTTTTAGAACCCTGAATAAGTTTCGGTCCAGTTACCATGCGTACTAAATCTTACCGGGATGTTAATATAACTTCGAGGCTTATAACTCTCTTTAAATAGAAAATTATATTCTAAGAGCTGGTCAGTGCGTTATAACAAACAGCAAAACGCAGAGTAGCGAAAACTTACGTTTGGCTTCGTTTTCTTCTAAAACCATTGCGATAACTCATATTTCCTTTTAAGTATCCACCACAAGAATCGTCTGCCTTTTTTAATTTATTAAGCCTTAGACGAAATATTTTTGGAAAGGTTGTTTCAGTAAGTATTTCTTTTCCGCAGTAAGTTATCCGAATATTTAAATTACCTGCAACAAGGTACGAAATCTTGTCCATAAAATTAGTGTAGCGTTTGTCAAATTGGTCAGCCACTTAATTGCTCTTTGCAGATTATCATTTTAAATATAACGAACTCAAAGTGAGTTCCTTCGTTTTAGGGAAATGGCTCTTATTCAAAGTTCCCCGTTCGAATTTATTAATTTGTACCAACCGCGAGGTTTAGTATTTCTAAAAAACTGTCATTTTCTCGTGCTTTCTGATATTCGATTGAGTTCTTTAGAAAGCTTACTTTTAAATACTACTGCGAGATTGATCGCATGTTGATAAAAGTCAGATAAGCTTTTCTAATTTCCTTCGAGCATCATGGTATTATGTATGACTGTCGAATTTCGAAAATAACCGGATGCTAACTAATTTAATCTCATCAGAGGTCGTCCAACTTACCGTTCTGGGGTTACAAAAGTATAGTTCGCGGCGCAAAGCACCGCGCACACCTTGAATTTACATGCGCAACAAATTTAAATTAGTTTATTATAGTTGCTTTCTAATCTAACTTATTTCTATTTAAGTTCAATTTTCAGTTTTGTTTTCAGTTCATTCTTATTCTTATTATCTTTATTTTATTTTTAGATTATTTTTGGTTAAGTGAATTATCCTTACTTTAATTTGCTTGTTTAGTTAGTTGGTCTTAGTTTTATTCAGTAATTTTTTTAATTCTGTTACTTCCCAATATTCGCATAATTGCACGTTTTAATTACGGCGCACTTTTTGTTGACAAAAAATATCATTTAAATAATTATTCCTAGTTTTTCTACTTTTATAAACTTTTTTATTTGTATTTCTTTCCGAACCTTGAAGCATCTTTTCCCAGGTGCAAACTGGAAGATTGTGTATACAGCAGTATTTAATGGAACCATAAATTTCGCGAGTGCTCATCAGCTGCATCCTCTCGCTGCATAAAGTGAGTAACGAATGACAGAATACAACAATTGAATTCATACAAAAGAGGTCATAGAAACAGGTCAGGAAGGTTAATTAGTAAATTGGGCCAATAAGTCTAATAAGTAACGTAAGTAAATGAGGCATTGTGGACAGTGACATAGGGGAAAAAAACGTTAAAGCAAAAATGTGGGCGGAGGGAGGTGTGAATCAGGGAGCCGGATGTTATCAGGGCAAAGCAAGGTTTACAACATGCTCCAGCTTTTTACATAGATCGGGTTTTGACCGTCGTATAGAGCATGGAGCATGTTGTGAACTTTGCTTTGCCCTGATAATACCCGGCTCCCTGATTCACACTTCCCCCTGCCCGCATTTTTTGCCTTAACGTTTTTTTCCCTATCTCACTGTCCACAGTGCTTCATTTACTTACGTTACTAATTAGACTTATTAGCCCAATTTACTAATTAACTTTCCTGACCTGTTTCTATGACCTCTTCTGTATGAATTCAATTGTTGTATTCTGTCATTCGTTACTCACTTTATGCAGCAAGAGGACGCAGCTGATGAGCACTTGCGAAATTTAAGGTTCCATTAAATTCTGCTGTATACGCAATCTTCCTATTTATATTTCCTTACCTTTCGCGTTTCCCAGACTGTATGCTCTTTATTTCACCCGGTTCTGTATTGCAGAAGGTTGGGGCTTTCGCGGGCTGATTTGGGACCCAGAGTAAGATTCTACCGTTATTATTTATGACTGTTGAATTTTGAAACTAGCCGGGTGATACCTAACTTGACTTCATCCACGGAGTAAATTTCTTAAAAAGCGCGGTTATTGCACTCGGCTCATGTTGTGAGCCAGGCATTTAGCTACATAGTTATTTACTCAGGCATCTGCAGTAGGCTAACGAAGGGCAGCATACTCTCTGTAGCAAGAGTAGACACAGCTTGTGTATGTGTGTGTTCTGTGAAAGCTAGCATTTAGGTAAACCCGCAGTTGCGTGCCAGCGAAAGATCACAAGGGGCGCAGTAAGATGGTGGAAAGTTAAGCGTCACTGGTGACCACTGGCGACCGTCGCGTGCCAATTGGATCATCAACTGAGAAGGCACCTCAAAGTGCTCTGCCACCCTGAAGGTAAGTGGGCGGGTGCTGTATTAACTAGAAAACCAGCTGTACCAGCTGTTAGTACAGCAATCAGCACAGCCTAGAGAGGAGAATGCCGCGACGTTATCTTCTACCCATCGACGGCAGCGACAGTTGCAAACATGCCGCCCGTTACTACCTGGAGCACATGAAGCAGGATGACGACGTCCTTATATTTGTCCATATCATCGAACCCACCTATTCTTCGCCTGCAGTCAGTGTAACCAAGGACACTTCCCGTGAATTGGTGGGGGGCATGACAAAGTCCATGCAGGAGAGTGTGGAAGCCGGCAAACTGCTGGGTCAACGCTATATGTCCTGGGCCAAGGAACACGACCTACAGTCTAAGGCCTTTGTGCACGTGGACCCCAAGCCGGGTGTTTCAATTCTGAAGGCGGCGGAAGAAAGACAGGCAGATCACATCATCCTCGGTAGTCGTGGTCTCAACGCCATTGGACGATCTCTTCTGGGCA